GATTTATTTCCATTTTTCAAAATGTATTGTATGTTGGGCTTATTTCGACGTGTTTTCGCTGTTCATTGCGCAGATTTATTTGAAAGCCATCGCACATTACTAATACATAATATTGTTGATAGTTCACACAGTGGATCGCATTAATCTCTCATTCACTGCATTCGTTTACTTCACAATTTTCCGTTTCGAAGCAAAACTCTTTTTAGTATATTATTGTTTTGCTGTGACAGTTCTCTCAGTGACACGCTTCTTGTTCATATGTGATACGAAAAATTTTCTCACATTTATCAATGCATCAAAAAATCAGCAGAACCAACGAACTATTTCTGCGATAGCAAACAACAACATGAGGAAGTAACTTTCTTCGAAAGAAGTTATTTTTCTTGCCGCTGTCGTTTTGTTTTATTTCATTACAACTCATTCACTGAACATGTGATGTGGTGTTCCTCTCATTCATTTCATTTCAAATTCTTCAAATTACTGCTTGCTCGTCTCAAAAACTGACCTATGGATCTTCTGGGAACTTGCAGACTCGAATACGAAGAGAACTCTGATTGTAAAAACTAAACAAATGATTTTTTAGGTGTTGTTCGCGTCAGAATATTATTTCAAATGTAAGCTCATCAATCGAAAAACTTGAAAAACACTGACATTCATTTGATATCCATTCGATCACAATGTGTGATCAAAAATGAAAAATCTTATTGTTAGCACGCAATTAGATGAGTTTCTGTATTGGTCAGCGCATATCACCGACTATCGTGAGAGAAATGCGTGAGGGCAGCATCAAAATTTTGCTGTACGATGAAAAAATTGTGTACAGGTGAGAATGACACCATCCATCACATAAAAACCGAACAATTTAGGGTAATTATCTACAACCTATTGATTCGCTCATTTATCCACTGAAACAACATTTATATGTTGTTACTGACACGATCTTTTTTTGCAGATTTACAGATGTATCTGATGGATCCTCTTGTTTGTGTTTATCCTCTCATTTGCTCATCACAAACCACATTACTTCGTGGAGGTGCGATATGAATGTGTGTATTTTTATTCTTACTACAGATATTGTCTCTATTGCTTTCTTATTGCTATCGATATCGTAATCATATAAATAACAAATAAAAAGCAGAGATCTAGCTGGATAACGATTAAATAGATGCAGATATATGGAAGAATTGAACAAGTTTACGATGAAAGAGGTTAATCTTTATATAAATGGCGAGTGAGCATATAAATGGTGAACTTACATTGTCATGTTTGAAGCTTGAAAGCATGCGTATTTCACGAAAGACGCGTTTACATGAAGCGAGATTCTGAAAGACATTTGGCATCTTTTTTAACGCTACACGTTTGCCACTTCTCGGATCTGTCACTGACCTGAAAATCATCATCTTCGATCTTTCTTCAATCATTTTCAAATACACGTCTCATATTTTTATTTTGAGTAATTTGAATATATTCATGAGCAACTACACTTCAATCAAAGCTGTCGATCAAATTTGACCCATGAGAAACCCCCAAAAAATTGTCCAATCCACGGACAAACAGGCTAGAAAAATTCTCGGAGAGTATTAAGTGATTTTTGATGTGTTGTTATAAGTTCAGATCTATAATCCCACTAAACAAGATCGATGCACTTCTGAGGAAATGTGCCTGTTAGTGCCTTCCTCTTCGTAAACGAATAGGTGATTTTGTTTGGTACAAGAATATGCCGTGAAAAATAAACCCTCTATGAACACTGGACAACAGTAAACGATGAATAATCGATTCACCAAATGAGACTATTTATAAAGTGCTCAGATTTTTGAACATCTTATTTTCGTTCCCTTTTTCTTCATTTGATTGTTACTTACGATAGCGAATGCCAACATGTTAATTCATAAAAAGTAGAATATGGGTTTCTCGGATGCATACTAGATGAATAAAGGAACACCTGTATGGATGACAACCTTAAGAGAGTGAAGAAATCTGATTTGAACAAATCATTTCAAATCAGCTCATCTAGTCCGGAAAATCGGAACAACTTTTCAGAGACTCGGAATATTTTTGATGATTCAAAGAATATGATCACTTACCAAACCACACCAAAGGCACCATATCCAATCGGACGATCTGGCTGAAATTCTTGCGGCGAAACACCAGGCGAATGATAGAAAGGCTGAGCGGCAGTGAGAATCGCTTGTGAAACATGACTACCAGAAGTCTGAAATTTCACTTTCGATAAATGTCACGCTATCGAATGCTCAACTTTGATAAATTCTCTTCAACATCATGAAATTTATCTTATATTTTCATGCGGATTTGTGCCATAACTTACCAAAAGTTTCAAATGTGCCATCAAATGTCTGACAAGAAACCGTAATATTGCTCGTATCATACTCAAATAGGATTGTACGATTGGCATAACTGTTGCAGCAGTTATACTTCTAGACATTCGTTTGAGTAGTACAGATAAAATTCTTTCGAGAGCCTCCATTGAAACAAAAACGGATACTTTCTTTACAGCAACAACGAATTACAGCAAATACTCAATAAACGATTTCGTTAGAAGAATATCAGACAATCTAATAGGACAGATTACAATCTTCTACAAGAATATACACTGCTTCTTGAATGACTGAACTTTAAATTCCGAAAGTTTATAGATCGTCTGTTCAGATTGCTTCTTGCGGTTCTCCAAATCACTCGACAACAGCAGACTGGGAGGAGATAGGAATGACCGATGATGGTTCTCTGAGATAATATATTTCGCACAAGTTCGACGTTGGCTTGGTTAGCTGAACGTAAAACTATGTACTCGGCGGCTATTCACGTGCGCAAATGATGCCAAAGGCATAGAACGGGCATGTCAAGTTCAACGGAGAACACATCGAGTAGTTCGTGTAGTTCGCGTCTTTACTTTTATACGACTGTGTTGAGGTGACTTTTGATGAAATATGACGACTCAAAAGTTTTTGCCACGTGAAAATTCGATGGTGGTTGGTACTTATGACAGAGAATGAATGAAGAGTGAATAAAACGAAATAAAAGCGATGAAATCGAATGATGAATGCAAAATAGCAATCAACAGCTAA